ATAATACATCTTACTACTATTTACGTAATAAGGTTATAGGTCGCTTGGCGGCAAAATATCCAGTTGAAAATCAACTTGTATCTGGAATTATTGTATCTAAAGATTTCGAATTCAACATTATGGATCCTAATGATCTTAAAGATTTTAATAGAATATCTACTTCAGCGATAATTCAAAAACAAACTATCGCATACTACTCTTCATTCTCTCTATTAAAGTATCATTTAGAACAGCTGTACGTGTCCCCTAGAAGAAAAATTAGATGACGATCAAGCGCCTACTTTTATCGTAAGTTCCTTGGAGTTTGGAGCCGGTTTTATTTTTCATATGTTAAAACCGATTAAACCCGGGTTTAACATATGAAAAATAAAACCGGCTCCAAACTCTATAAAGTTCCTATCATTATTTCAAGTCTAATATAATTATTTAAATTCTTAAAAAATAGATTTTGGATAACATTAAAGTGAGACATATTAGTAAAAGCCAAGTTCAACTTGAATGGTCGAGTACTCCCATGAATGATAATATCGCTGATTCTGTACTAGAAGTCTCGCTGAATATTGAAAGCAGTCCAGCATCCGTAAAAAGTAATTTCATAAACTTTATTTAATTTGTTACAGTCAACCCCCTCTATAATTACACGTTTTGTTTACTTAATAACTTTTTTAAAAATGTGCTTATAAAGAGGTTGTGTTTATATAGAGGCAGTTTTTTATATGTTTAATAGTAATTTGTTTTTGAGTATAGAATGTGATAAAGAGGGGTTTTTATATAATGTGATTATAGAGGGGTGACTGTAGAGGAGGATGACTGTAACGATTGATAAATATCAAATTTCATTAAACAATAAATCAAATTACTATAGTTACGAAGCATTCACACACGACGGAAGGTTTTCCGATAATTTGACGGAAAATTGATGAAACAAAGATGAAATCACGAGAATCTACTGAAAATTATTTAAGGAAATAGTTCGGGGAAATATATAACAGTTCGGAGAATATATAGTAAAGACGATTCTAAAGATGAAATTATTATTAAAACGGATGATCGTATCGTAGAAGTCAATCTTAGCACTCTAGTAAGCTATTAGTTTAATTATTATTTAATTTTATTTATTCTTTACTGTCAACATTGTTCATTAATTTTCTTGTGACAGGAAGTCAAAACTGATGATGATGTATTAAGAAACCGAATAACACAATATTACGCGCGTTACCCAAATTTCTTCATCCTTTGAAATTTTGTCCTGAGTATCAATAATGATTAATTTATTATGGTAAACTTGTTTTTTTACGTTAAATTTCCTTTTTAGAAGACCATTAGTTTTTTACGTATCAAGAACGCGATTTATGCAATATGTAGATCAATATCAAAAATCACGTTACTTATTACTGTATTACAGTATTATCAGTTATATAACTGAAGACGCGAAACGTCGTTGTTTATTTACTTCACGTTTTTTTTTTTTTTACTTAAACTCACTTGCAACTTCCCTCTTTCATTATTTTTTTTACTTAAATTCACTTGCAACCTTTTTCATTATTTTTTTTTTTTACTTTAAACTCACTTGCAACTTCTCTCTTTCATTATTTTTTTTACTTTAAATCCACTTGCAACCTACCTCTTTTTGCTTCAATTCTTTCAGGTATTTTTTCGCTCACCATTCATAATGGAAGGTAGGAATAAAGTCTTGTTTTTTTCCTACTAAACTTCTTCGGGATTCTAATCTTTCTACATCGGGAGGTCCACTCCACTCCTTCGGGAGTTCCATTTCAATTCCACTCCTTCAGGAGTTCCAATTCCAATTCCACTCCTTCAAGAGTTTCATTCCAATTCCAACTCCACTCCTCCGGAAGTTCCATTCCAATTTCAATTCCAATCCAATTTCCACTCCTTCGGGAGAATTTCTCCTCTTGTAGAAAAGGAATCTTTTTGTCAAAGTTACTAATTGACTTTGAATAAGAAGTCGTTTACGTTTTTCTTTGACTGTGAAGAGATGAACTAACAGTATCTTTTTTTACTATGGTAAATAGGTTTTCGTCCTTGTTGCGGTAATCCAGAATTCACGGTTTTAATGTTCGGAGAGATTTCAAATTTAAGCATAAACGAATTAGAAGATTGGTTAAAGTCACAATCGCCATTTCCGTTTATCCATATAAAAAAAAAATTTGATAGTAAAAAGTAAGTTATTACGTTTTTGTTGTATATACTTGTAAATTTTTAATAAATTTTTTTTTTTTTTTTTTTTTTTATAGCCATGCTCATGTTCATTTCAGAAACCACGCAGATGCAAGTCGGTTTTACTACGGGATGAAAGACCGCGAAAATTTTAACTACGGTGTTAGATTCTGTGCCGCGAAATATTATAGGTTTTCACCGAGGAACGGTGAAAAAATTACGGTAACTATATTTTTATTATTTGAATGCCGGAAAGAGAAAACCTCGAACCGGGAAATATTAACTATAATTGCCGACCCGAGTTTCTCTTTTCGGCATTCTTTATAATTTAAATAAATATATATATATATATACTAAAAATACTATACGTATCAGTATATTAGACCGGAATCTAATCCTGCCAACGTTGAGCCCGAACTCGCCAACGCTTATGCCAACACTGAGCCAGAACATGCCAACGTTGAACCCGAACTCGCCAACGCTGAGCCCGAACATGACAACCCTGAACCAGGACTTGAAAACCCTGAGCGCGAATTTGAGCCCGGTTGTAACTTTTTATTTTTACACGAAAAAATCTTACGGCTGGAAGAAAAGAATAAACAATTTGAAAAACGAATAATTGATTTGGAAGAAACATCAGATAGAAAAAAAAGAAAAATTATCATTATAGACTAGCTTTTTTTTATTCTTATAGATTTAGGCTTTTTTTTTTTTTCTTATAGATTTAGGCTTGTTTTTTTTTCTTAGATTTTAAATCTATCATTTATATGCACTATATTTCTAACGATTTAAAATAAATTTTATTATAAGGAAGCATATATACAATACCGAATTGCAAAAAATATCGACATTTTATGAAAAATAAATCTCAAAACACAATTCTATATAGTAAAAAAAATTTTCTACGTAATAAAAAAATTCTTCTAAACTGTCCATACCAGAGTTGCAGGTGAAACTAATCTTCAATAGTGCACCGATGGTAAAACTAGAGTTATAGATGAAACTAATCTTCAATGAACCGTTGGTGCACCAGTTTTTTGGTGAAATTAATTAGTTTCACCGCAACTATAGTCCATACTACAATTTGTTAGAATAAATCTTTTAATTCTCTAATTAATAGTCTTTAAAAAGCTATTTTATAAGGTATTATGATAAAGTCAAAGGAGTATAGTGTACAGTATTATACGGGGATGACTATATCCGGATTTAATGCAAATATTTTTTAAACGGATATATCCGAATCTGATATTAAATCAGATCGGATTATCCGTTATTCTTTTTGCAGATATCCTATTCGATTATATATCAGTCACACGATTTGTCACGCAGATCATATGGGCTAGGTGCTGGAAAAAGGACCGAAAATGACAATTTTTTCAAAGTAGATTTTTTCGCATAAATTAATTT